CCGCCATTGGATGAGGTTGGTTGGAGACAGAGAGGAGTGGTGAGCTGGCTATATAAAGAGGCGGGCCCCACTAAATATTCGGATAATTTACTTTTGATAAATTAATTTGGCTAAAATATTCTTCATGTATTGTGCACAAAAATATCGGTAGCTGAGCAAACATTTATATTTGCATTCGTTTTTTTAATTGTGATACTATCGTGGTTACTAAAATTTATAATAGATAGGATATAACAATGGACACGGTTATAAAGTGAAATATCTGAATATATATTAGTCATATTATTTTAACAATTTTAATTCTTAGATTAGTGAATTTGAGTTTGTATCTAATCTTAGTTTTTTTATATCTAACGAACATATTAATGAATTCTTTTATATCGTATGAAGTATATTTTTTTTAATATTGTCTAATTTTTTTCATATTAATTCTATATCTGGATATGTATCCGCTTATATATCTAAATGCATACCCGCATGTCTATCAGATTTTTAACAGATATGTATATAAATTTACCTATCGATGCATAAATTTATCAGTATTAGTGATTGGTAAGGGAATACGTATATAATAAATAGGACCGGATGCCCCCCTCTGCTATGTACCTGAATCTTTTGATTCCTAGAACAATTGGATAAAGTTAACAAAGCTCAAACATTTGGTCAATTTTCAGATAACTCCCAAAACTTTTAAAGACTTCATTGAAACCCTATATAAAGTTTGCTTTTGTCGAAATCTATTTTCATCGCTTTTTGTGTGGTCCCTGAAAAGGTTTTTTTTTTTTTTTTTTTTTTTTTTTTTTTTAAAAAAGGGTTTTGGAGGTTTTAGTGTCGAAGGAAAAGCGATAAAAAAAAGTGTCCAAGGAAATGTTCCTTATTTCTCTCGTCTAAATGGGGGAAAGTTATAAAATAGATTGTTTATAACACTAATAGAATATTGTTTTCCTTGAATTGTTTATTTTCCAAATACAAAAATAAAAGATTGTTTTCCTTGGATTGCTTGTTTTCCAGATATAAAATTCAATTAAGACATTTTCCACGCAATAAATATTTTGATTTGCAATTCATAAATGTTTTAAGTCCATCAATTTCATATTGTAGTTTGAGATTTATGTTTTAAATAGTGATGATATTAAAAAAGAGAGTACTTTTGCCTCTCACAAATCAGTCAAGTATCCTGCCCTTACTTTAAGCTTAAAAACAATATGGTAAATTGTAAGTTTTATCTCATTTGGATGATTGGATAAATTATTGCTGGTCTTTCTTCACTCCCAAAACATTAGAATTATATCAAAGCTCAAGGAACAAAGATTATCTTTACATTCTCATACATACATTGTACCTGCACAAATAAAATTATTTTCCCTATTGCATGCAAATACGAAGACACTCATGTGATCAGCTGAAAGAACCACAGCAATTATTTTACCAATGATTTAACACATAGGTCTAAAAAATCCATATGCCCCCAAATTAAGCAAAACAAATACACTACTTGTAGTACCCAAAATATGATAGTCAAGGATACAGTAACAAGACCAAGCTAACCTCCATGCTTGCTATCATGTACAAAGAATACCATAACAACAAAATTGCGAGAATAATTTCAACGAACCAAGATAGAAAACACAAGCTAAGTAAGGATCTGTATAAGATCAATAACATGATATAAATGCCACCATAACTATCAGCAACATGATCACGATTAGTAAGGACAATCTACTTAATTGCTTGATAAACTAGAAGAGTAGTAAGTTCGTCTATAAACAAAATAGTAGCACAACCATAGTCCACTTATTTCCCATCTTTCAGATGTCCAGGCATGAACAGGATCATGACAGAAGAAGAAAAGACCAGGAAACAAACATAACACTCAGTTGGACTCAATAGCAACATTAAGAGTGCTGGCGCAAGCCTCATATATGCATCTTCCTAGCAAGGGTTAGAATCCGAAATCACCATAGGGACCTCAATATTTCCCCTGCATCAATCATCCATAGAATTAGTTAATTTTGCCGCAAACGTATGATATTTTTCATAGTAATGAAACACATAAGAGCATTAAATCAGCAAAAGGGAAATGAAGTCACATAGAAGAGAGAGCAAAAGGTAGAAATGATTCTTTTTCTTTTTTTGTGCAATGGAAAGGTCCCTTTCTAATTTGTTTGAATTTTGGCACCTCTTACTATTATTATCATAATACTAAACATGAGTCCATAATGTAATACATCAACTTGTGAGAAATAAATCAAACAGAATTCTCATTTGAGGGCCATCTAGAATTGACCAAATACATATTAGAACAACAATTAATATTAAGCCAACAGCATTAGAAAAGCAGTATGATGTACACTAATTTCATGGTTTCAGTTTTTCTAACAAGAAAATTTGGATAAATTTATTAAAAAAATTGAGTTTATAGTTTTTATAAATAAGAACACATGGGAACATATACATTCAACAAGAAAAATAGAACAATCTAAGGCCATTGCCCTATGTTTGTCATATATTCCTCGAGTCTTGCAAACTTTTTGTAAGTTTTATAAAACATCATGTATATCAAAGTTGGAGCCAGAAGAACTATTGAACCTGTCTTTAATCTGAAACTCCCTCGCTCCAAATTTCCAGAAATGTAAATGTGCACAGATAAGGGTGCGCGAAAGAAGAAGGAAAAAAGACACACACAAGTAAAAGCAAAATAAAGGAAAAAAACAAAATAAAAAACAATAATTAGCTTATTCTGTAGTTAGTAGATCATATACACCGCCATGAATTCATATTAATTCCAAAAATAAGATCCCTACTACCTCGTTCCAGTTGTGGTCTTTCAGCTCCCATAAAGGGTGCTGCTATTATATTACCAATGTCATATAACAACTAAAAACCACAGATGTATTCTAAGCTCCTCCAATAAACATTGGAAGAAAAATCCTATTACTAACTAAAGTGAAATTTCAAAATTTTGGATGACAGTTGCAGACATATTATAAGTATCAACATCAATATCCATTCGATTCAGTTCCAAGCCTATTGGAAAGGGAATAATGCTTTACTAGATAACTGGAGACCAAAAAATGTATAATCAGTCATCATACCTGCCACTGTCCTTCAACAGGACCAGTTGAGTTTTGTCCTTGAACAAAACCCGGTCCTTGCCTGTATTGTCCAGCATCACCATTGTAACCTGCTCCTGGACCCTGTCTAAATCCTCCAGCAAAACCAGGACCCGACCCCTGTCCATAGTTCCCTGTAGATCCAGGCCTATAATCTCCTCCTTGTTCATTGGCGAAATTCCTCTGTTCCTGTGGAGGGAAACCACCTTGCTGTCCTTGAGGAAACTCGCTCTGATAAGGAGGCATTTGATCTCTTTGTCCTCCATGATAACCATCTCGTCCTCCACTAGGCGGCGGGGGCCCAAAACCTCTTCCATCCTAGCCCCTTCCATCTTGCGGTGGGGGCCCAAAGCCCCTTCCATCTTGCGGTGGGGGCCCAAAGCCCCTTCCATCTTGCGGTGGGGGCCCAAAGCCCCTTCCATCTTGCGGTGGGGGCCCAAAGCCCCTTCCATCTTGAGGTGGCGGGCTGAAGCGCTGACCCCTACCATCTTGTGGTACATTTCCTTGCCTGTCACCATACCGTCCTTGGCTTTGCTGTTCATAGTTTCTGTTCCTATCACCATACCGTCCTTGCCTCCCGTCTTGCCTTCTATATTGAATTGGAGGTGGCCTATGCGTAATGACCCCATTTTCATATTTATCCCCTGTAACAATTTCAAGGAGAAAATAAGAATTGCCGATCAAGGGTTATGGCACAATGAAAATCTGTCAAATTGTGCATGTTGCAGTTGGACTTTCGATAAAAGTCTCGACAGAAAGATGTTAAAATTATGAAGATGAAAAAGACAAACCTCCATATTCCTTGTTCACAGGATCAATGTATGAATCTGGCAAAATGAAAACAACTCCCGGCAAACCTGATATAATGGTTTCAGATTTTAATGAATGGAAGAAATCTCTTTTAGTAACAAACCATATCCTATGGAGCAAACGTCAATATTTTAAAGCTTACCCCTAAATTTCTCAGATGTCTCCTCATCCATTACACATTGGAAACCCTGATAAGTTGTTGTGCTGCAAGCATAAATTCTCTTCTTTGCCTCCTCTTCACTGAAACCAACACGTAACATTCAGAAAGGATCTTTATATAATCAATGGAAAAGTAAAACAGAAACGACAAATGATCAGTTTAAAGAGCTGAGGGAAAAAGGAAAAATCCCGCAAGTAAACAAACTGGCAAATGGTTTCCAATTCCTTTAAAGCCCCCCTTACCAAACATTAGAAATCCTTTTTCAGATCACAGACTCCAGAATGATCTTCCAAAAAAAATAGGGGGGAGAAAGAAGAAGAAGAAGAAGAAAACATGCATCTTTACAAACTATAAATCAGAAGTATTATTTTATCCAATATACAAACTTCTAAAGATGATCCAATATACAAACTTCTAAAGATGATACTTAACTTTTGAAAGTTCTTAATGGGTATAGAAAACTTAATCCATTGATATCCACAAAGATGAAAGAAAAACTTAATAAGGATTTTTTTTTAAGTCTTTTCTTCCTTAAGTTACTCTTATAAACTAGTAGAAGTTAGAAAAGGCAAAAAGAGTGAAGAGCAAATCTACTTACTTAGGAATCATCTGCGACAAAATGCACAGAAAGAATCAATAATAAAGAGGAAAGATATATGTCGATCATACTTGCAAAATCGAATCACATGGCATTTAGAGAACCAAATTATAGGGATTCATGCCTAATACCAATTTACATAAAAGCTCATTACAAAACTAACTAAAAATGGTATTTTGGTACGCATTTAAACACAAATGCGAACTTAATAACATTAATTGGAGATAAGGATGCACCTTTGGTCAGTCGCAAAAACACAAGTTCAATCTAATGGAACCATCTTCTCAGAGAGTAGTAATCCTACAATCAACTCAGCATAAATCACCAAAATGCTAAAACTATCTCTACCACTGATCCATGGAATGAATCAACAGCTTACTGAATTCACAGCAATTACCCTAATGATCCCATAGAATTCTGTGACTCACGAACAGTCGAGTACTATGTCTACAAACATTAAATATCAAAGAAAATACCTTTCAATAAAACAAATCAAAAGGAGTAAAAAAAAACAATCCTATCGAATTCCTTTCTCAATAGCTTACATATAAAAAACTGTTCCTTTTCCAGTTTGAGAGAAGAAAATATTACACACTTAAAAGTCGCTCAATTTACGAACAAAAAAAACAATCCTATAAGCTTCCCTAGAATCCTCTGAACAACAAAAAACAACATCTAGTCATGAATCACGAACAACAATCACTAAAATTTTATAATTAAAAAAAAACAACTGAGCAAAGAAATTATACCTTCCAAAGACCATAGCAGCGGTCTTAACATAAGTCGCGACCATTTCCTCGGCCGTCGGCGCATTCTCAGGATCCTTTGGGAAATCCATAGTAATCAGCCAGTGATTATAATCGCAACCCTCGAACAAGATATCGTCAGGCCCAATCTCCGGCTCCTTGCTATCAAATCGCCGGTCCATCAAGGCCGGCGACGACCGAAACGATTGGGGTCGGATCAGGGAGTGAGGCCTCGGTGTAGGGTGAGGGCTAGGGTTTCCCGGGGTGGAAGGGTAGGGTTTCGGGGAGAAGAGACGAGGGGAGGAGGAGATCGACGAGAAATGGCGGTCGAGGATGGAGGAGGAGAGGGTGAGAGCTCGCCGGACGCGGAGAGAGAGCGCCATGGGGGGCTAGGGTTTTGGGGAGGGGAGCTAGGGTTTTTGGAATCGAGGGAGGATGAAATGCCAAGGGGTTTTTGATGTGGGGATAGGTAAAGGGGTTAGGGTTAAGCTATGTTGTACCGGCGGAGAACTAGCCACGATGTCGACTTTTTGGCTTATAATTGCACTTAAATACCCTGTAGTTTCCTTGTTTTGCGCTTTAGGGGCTGCTTGTTTGGTTTCCTAAAAATCATGAAAAGGAAAAGGATACCTGGAAATTAATAGAATATTATTTTTATCCATTTTTATCCTTAAAACTCACTACAACATCTAATAAAATATTATTTTTATCTCACAACTCATCTCATTTCATCTCCTAATGGGCTGTTTGGTTGGTTTCCTAAAAACCAAAAAAAGGAAATCGGTACAAGGAAATCAATAAAATAATATTTTTATCCATTTCCATCCCTAAAACTCACCCACAACATCCAATAAAATATTATTTTTATCATCCAACTCATCTCATTTCATATCCTTTCTTACCTTTAGGGGCTGTTTGGTTCGCTATTATAAGGGGTGGAAAACTCAGAAAACCCCTCAACGTCAGATTTTTAGCCCTCCACGTCAGCGTTTTTGTTTCCGTCCATTTCTTTGTGCCGCTTTGGTTCGCTCGAATGGAAGAGGAAAAACTCTGCTGAAATCGCCGCCAACTAAGATTTTTTCCCCTCTCTGATTTCCTTCCCCAACCAAGTGAAATTGATGAAAACTCTGCCACGTCAGATTTTTTTCCTTCTCTGCTTTGTTTACAAAAGTTTTCCTTTTTTTCTATGCGAACCAAACACAAGAAAAATAAATACATTGGTTTCCCACCATTTTTTATGTGCGAACCAAAACAAAACAATCTATTTCTTGGAAAAGTTTGGAAAACTCAAAACTTGTGTTTCTTTACATGGAATTGCATTTCTCTATATCAAGGAAACGAACCAAACAGCCCCTTAAAAATAAACCAAACACAAGAAATGTGTCACATCATCCAACTCATCACATCTCATCTTATCCCATTTTTAAAAATCACACACATCATCCAATAATATTGTGACAACTCATCTCATCTCATTAAACATTCATTTCCATCCATTTCATAAAAAAAACAAGAAATTGATTTCCTTAAGCATGTGTCACATCATCCAATAATATACCTCCAACTCATCTCATCTCATCTATTTTCTTATTTTTAAAAATGAACCAAACACAAACAACCTCAAAACATCATCCAATAATATACCTCCAATTCATTTCCTTATTTTTTTAACCAACCAAACAACATCAAAACAAGTTTTTTTTAAAAATCACTCACATCATCCAATAATAAGGTGACAACTCATCTCATCTCATTTCCTATTCTATAATTTCCTTCTTTTTTAACTCAACCAAACAACTTCAAAACAATTATTATAGGAAATAGATTTCCTATTCTTTAATTTCCAAGTTTTTTTTGCGAAACGAACGGACCCTAAAAAAAATCAAACACAAGAAATGGGTCACATCATCCAACTCATCTCAGCTCCATCACATCTTATCTTTAAAAATCACTATCATCATCCAATAATATGGTGACAATTCATCTCATCTCATTAACATTTTATTTCCACTCATTTCAACCAAAACAGCTAGAAAATCGATTTCCTTAAGTGTGTGTCACATCATTCACTAATATAATAACAACTCATCTCATCTCATCTATTTTCTTATTTTTATGAATGAACCAAACACAAGCAAAGAACCTATTACAGGAAATAGGTTTCTTATAAATTATTTCCTTATTTTTTTAGCCAACCAAATAACCTCAAAACAAATTTTCTTAAAAAACCACCCACATCATCCGATAATAATGTGACAACTCATCTCTCATTCTTTGATTTTCTTCTTTTTTTTAGCCAATCAAACAATCTAAAAATAATTTTTCTTAGAAATAGCTTTTCTAATTCTTTGATTTCTCTCTTTTTTAAGGCAAACAAACAGCCTCTTACACGCCGTCAATTGCTTTTGGGCAACGCTTGTGTGCTCTATAGTTTTCATTTAAAATGAGCTATTTGCATATGTACCCCTTAAATTATAATATTTACAGGATCACTCTTCAAATCTCGTTATTTACAAAACTACCCCTCAAATCATCAATTTTTGAAAAAAATGTCTATGAATCATTAACTTTTAATAGGCCGATTTGCAACTGCAATGTAAAAATTATAAGCAAATAATTTAAATTTCTACTCATCAAGTAGACGGCTTGAGGGATATTTTTTTTGGCAAAGCTGGATTTTAGGGATATTTTCCCCCGAAGCTGATGATATGGGGGCTCGTTACACAAATACTAAGATCTACATGGTAATTTACGAGTGAAAAAATAGACTGTGTGCAGCTTAATTATCAAGCTCAAGGTTCTATAATTGAAGAATGATATGCCAACAAAAGAGCTGGGGTCATCAAAATAATTTAAACTTAATATTTGAATGCTACTAATTAATGAATGTGCGTGAGGCTTTAAGAGAGATTATTTGCAATTTACCCAACAAGACAATTTTAAATTGCAAACGATTAGTGAATGAAGAAAGGAGGGATATAAAAAAAAAGGAAAACGACGCCTGAGAGATTCGAACTCTCGCGGGGAAACCCCATGTACTTAGCAGGCACACGCCTTAACCACTCGGCCAAAGCGTCGTTGTTGAAAGATGTATTTATTATTTTGATAATTACTAAATTAACATTACAATGATCAAAACAAACAAATCAAATTATTTGCGCCAAGTTATTCAACAGCAAAATATTTCCTTTCCGCCACCTCACATAAACGCAGTTCTCCTCTAGTGTTTCCCTGCATCTCCTAGGAACTTCCAAGGGAAACTCACTTCCATCTCCAAAGACTACGATTTTCCATTTTAAAATAAGAAAAACAAACAGGTAACCACGTATCGATACGCGTCACGTTAGCAACACACCAACCAACCGTATGAATTTAAAAGGAAACCGTTCAGGATGAAAATTAAGTTGGCTATTCGAACCTTGTTTTTTAGCTTCTTCTTCCTCGCCTGTCTTCCAATCGAGCTTACATGGCTTGTTGGTGACCATGCCTGAACCGGATCCATCATCTGATCTTGCTGTCTTGACCCGGAAAATTACACCGAATTCTGATATTTTCGCCATTGTTTTCGTTGTTGTTCTTGATGTCACCCTGTCCTCAGTTGCAGGTTGGCCGCAGAAGAAGAAAAGTAGATCTACATGAAAAACATATTATAATCTAAAAATATCGATCGAAATAGTGTAGATGTATGTCACGCCAACAATACACCCGCTGAAAAGCATACATAGATATATAAACAAAATTTAGTTATATCGAAACAGAACTAGCTGTATAGTGACGATGGGAAACCATTATTTGGTAAAGTAAATAAAAATCTCATTGAAAAAGAAAAATCTACCTTTTTAATTAATAGTATGAATCCTTCCCTTTAAACCCTCACTATTAGTTTCATAGTTGAATTTAAGTGTGACAGTATTTTTGGAGTTTTAAAATTATGGCTCACACAAATTAAAAAGAAGACTTCCCTTATATTATATCATACAATATAGATAGATTTTTTTTAATGCTATGCCCTTTAGGCTTAGGGCATATGTTCTTTATTTTTATTTTGTTTTTTAACGGGAGGCTTAGGTCTACGTTACGGAGCAACAAGTGCTCCCCAATTTATCTCTTTTATCATAGATGAATGTGTAAAGTTTAGTGTGTTTTTTTCGTAAAATTTTGACATTATAGGGGTGTTACGTGCAAAGCCCTCAAAGTTCAGGGAGGTTCCGTGAAATTAGACCCGTTCTGAGGCGGCGGCACACTTTTGGCCACATGCTGACGTGGAAGCTCACCGCAAGCATCTCACTGTCCCTCTATTAAAACAGAACGCTCTCTCTATATTCTCTGTTCTCATTCTCTCAATCGCTGGGGGGAAAAAAGCTGAGGGTTAGGGTTTAATAATTCAATTTAGGGTTTTTCTTTGGTTTCAATGGCGGACGCTTCGGATTCTCTTCAGTCAATCTGCTACGAGCGGGGATCACTTCGCCTCCTCGATCAGGTTCTTTTGTTATCTTCGGTCTCTGAAGTTGATTCGAATTGGGAATTTTTTTAGGGTTTTGTATAATTTTGTTTATTTGGTTGATTGATTGATTGCAGAGGAAGCTTCCACTGGAGACTGTATACTTGGATATTCGAAATGCCACCGATGGATGGTGTGTTTGATTCTTCGTGTTTGATTTTTCAATATTAGATTGCTGCTGAAGTAGTTTTTTTTTTGCTTTATCGTTGAAAGGCTGTAATTTTCTTCCCATATTAAATTTTAGAAATTTTGATTATGGGTGGACCCAAGTGTAGCATCGGCTAGCTGACTTTGTCAGTGGTTTGAGCCGAACAAACAACGCGCTACGCTCAGTGGGTCCCACGTCTTACACCTCGCCAGCGGGCCCGCGGGCACGGTGCGTGACGCATTTGGATAGTCTTTTGGATACTGACTAGCTGTTTTAAGGTCCTCATCTGGGGTTTATGTGAATTAATTGATTAATTTTATCGCTGAAAAGATAATATAAGTCAGGTTGACATTCGTTTTTTCTTAGAAGCTCTGATATTTTTTATCTAAATTAAGATCTTGACATGTCAAGTACTGAGATATATTATCCTTTTTCACTAGTTACTGTAGCTTAGCTGCATCTCCTTAAATTTTCTCTTCTGAACTAGCTAGGAAACTTTATGGGAGTTAAAAATGGCTAGAATATCATGAGAGACTCGCGTTCATAACAAAAGGACAGTGGTGTCGACTAGTTGTTTATTTTTTTTATTAGTGGCTGCTGATAGGCATATGTAACTGACTGAAATTTTATGTATACCGTCATGGCACTTTGAAATTTTGTTTTCATTAGAAGTTACTGTTGTGCGCGTCGCGGAAGCGTGACAACCAAACGGGCGTGCTTCGAGAACCAAATCAAACAAACGTCGAGATAAAGGCCAAACAAATCAAAACAACGGCACAAATCCAAACACAATAGTTTTACGTGGTTCGGCAATTGCCTACGTCCACGGGGCAAGAAGGGGATGAGGTTTTCACTAATAGAGAAAGAGTACAAACTGAGATTACAAATCACTCGAAGGAACAAACTAATCTCACCAACAAGCTCTTAATCTCTCCAAACAAAACCCTAAACAAATAGCTCAGAAAATACCTCTTTTCTGTGCTCCAAATATCCCCAATTTTTCTTCTCCACCAATTTTCTCTTCCAATTGTTCCATATATATAGAAATCCTAAAATCATAAACATACTAGGAATTCTAAACCAAAACCAAATCAAATTAGGAATCCTAATAACCTATTACCAAAATAGATTAGGAATCCTAATAACCTCATGTTACCAAAATAGAATAGGAATCCTAATAACCTTATGTTACCAAAATAGATTAGGAATTCCCTATCCAACAATTCTCCACCGCGGCGAAGTTTTTCCAAAACTGAGCCGACACCGACCAAACCAAATGCCTCACTTGTTACGTCCAGTACGCCACGGCAACAGACTCATGACAACGGACTCCATCCACACAAGTCGAGACCCAAACGGGAGTGCGAACACTCACCCAAATGTCGATATCTACTCACCAAATCGGCTGCATCAAAACTGACTGCCTACGTATCCTCTTGCCCAAGGAATCAAGCCGTAGTTCGCCCAAATGGCCTCCAAATGCCTCAATCCACTAGAAGAGTTCGCAACCCTTCTCCAATCTCACGATCAAGTCTGCGGCTGATAGCACCTCCAATGGCTCCAAACTGAACTAATCCAAACATCTCCACCTGAGATGAATCAATGGTCATATCCAGACTACATCCATCAGCTGTACTCGAATCAATCAACCTATCATCTGCATCCAAATCAACACGATTCCCAATCTGTGTCACATCAGCTGGAATCCCAAATGTGGCAGTATGATCTGGAGTTTTCTCCCAATGTGGAGTAGCATCACTCTCCACCCGCTGCGATGTCCCAAAGATCTGATCACTACTCTCCACCTGCCGAGAGTCAAACGTGACATACCTGCTCAGAACAAAGTCAGAAGCCAATACTTGAAAATCAAACACGCCTCTGAATCTCAAATGTGCTATCGGATCAAATCTCACATCCACGATGTGACCGAGTGCTGGGTAGCCAAACATCCGACGTAACCCAAAATCTGAAGCAGCTCCACCAGATCCTATATCTATACATGCAGCAGTTGGCAACCTGTACATGAGACGGCCCAAACATGTCGTAGCATGCACACCAATGCCAATGCTCGACATCAAACGCCGATCCTCCTCCAGAAAGGAACAACTACCCAAATCTGCCATCTCGCCTTGTCGCCTCAAAGTTTCCACACCAATGAAGTGTCTCAAACTGCCATGAGCTCGGCACAAATACAGTAGGTCCCTCTTGTACCTCCTTCTACAACCAGAATGAAGTACCTTCACCTTACTCCTAATACACTTCTTCAACTGTTGTTGACTACTAGGACTTCAAAACCAACGGGATTTGGTTGTAACCCACAAATGCCTAGTATAATCCCCAACATAGGAAACCAAAACACCAATTTACCTTCCAATGATGCCTCCTTGGAAGGCCCCTAAATGCCTGAATGAACACCAAATAGAAGACCCTTCAATCATCAAATAGAAGTGCCAAACTCTACCTCGGTCTCCTTGCTCATACCAACGTGCTCAAAAGGACTTCAATATGCAGGTCAAGGGCACTTCTCAATAATCCAATGCACCGTATCAATAAACAAATAACCTAGCCTCAAATCCTTCTATCTCGGCGAACTATCTCAAAGCACCAACAAATGAAGAATAGATCCAAACTGATAAAGGAGAGAATTTTACCTCCAAATGAAACCTTAACAAGAGTCTCCAAATGATCTCACCCCGCACGACGACAACGAGATCCACAAATAGGAAAAATCTCACCTTTATCTCCAAACGAAGCCCTCGAAGAGCCTCCAAAGCGATCTACTCCTCCAAATAGCCCAAGCGCCAACAAACCAATGCGGAATAAACGAAGAATAGATCCAAACTAAAAAAGATAGAGTCTTTACCAAAAAGATCCCACCTTTCTCAACAAACGAAGCCCTAGCCGAATTTCCAAATTGATCTACTCCTCCAACCAAGATAAAACCCTAGATCTAAAATCTGGAGCTCTGATACCATTTGTTGTGCGCGTCGCGGAAGCGTGACAACCAAACGGGCGTGCTTCGAGAACCAAATCAAACAAACGTCGAGATAAAGGCCAAACAAATCAAAACAACGGCACAAATCCAAACACAATAGTTTTACATGGTTCGACAATTGCCTACGTCCACGGGGCAAGAAGGGGATGAGGTTTTCACTAATAGAGAAAGAGTACAAACTGAGATTACAAATCACTCGAATGAACAAACTAATCTCACCAACAAGCTCTTAATCTCTCCAAACAAAACCCTAAACAAATAGCTCAGAAAATACCTCTTTTCCGTGCTCCAAATATCCCCAATTTTTCTTCTCCACCAATTTTCTCTTCCAATTGTTCTATATATATAGAAATCCTAAAATCATAAACATACTAGGAATTCTAAACCAAAACCAAATCAAATTAGGAATCCTAATAACCTATTACCAAAATAGATTAGGAATCCTAATAACCTCATGTTACCAAAATAGAATAGGAATCCTAATAACCTTATGTTACCAAAATAGATTAGGAATTCCCTATCCAACAGTTACTGTAAGCTGAATTGTATATGCATGCATGGGGAATGTATAGTTGTTCGACTTTAGAGGTTTCAATAGAATCCATTAGTAATTTAGTATTGTTGAGCAAGATTTGCAAGCAGTTTTAGTGTCTAGCAGTAAAGAGTATGCACATTTCATCTACTTATTTTCGTGATCTTCAATAGCTTTGGGTTCATCTT